TTTTTTGAAAATTAAGAACATTAATAGTGAGTAAGGCCATACCAACTGTTGGTGGGGGCTTATTCCCCCTTTTTGTTTTTGTAATCATATTTTTAGGTTTTGATGGTTGCGTTCTATAATGGCTTGACCTTGGGGATTGTAGGGAATTCCTGTATTGTGTTGAATTCCCCAAAGTGAAAAGAAATCTTGTAAATTTTTACTCACAAAACATGGTCCATTATCAGTTTTAATTCTTTGGGGCAGTCCCAATGTAGCAAAGCAATGGAGAAAATGAGACTGAGCATGTTTAGACTTCTCTCCTGTGTGAGTGGTAGCCCAACAGGCATGTGAGAATGTGTTGATGGACATAAAAATATACTTAAGCTTTCCAAAAGGAGCATAGAGTGTCACATCCCTTTGCCCTAAGGAATTTGGCTTGAGTCCCCTGGGGTTTACCCATGGCTGTTGCAGAGGCAGTACCTGTAAGTCATCTTTTCTGCCTCTGCATTGCCTTGGGCACCAGGCAATCCTTGGTGCCCCCTAAGGTGCTGTAAGAAAATAGGGGCTTCTCTCTCTTTAAGGGGCATACGAGTCTAAATACTGTCAGAAAGCAATGGACATGAGTTCCTTGAATTGAGCTGCTTTTTGGTTTCTCCACATCTGCCCCAATCAGTGAAAACGTTATAGGCTTTACTAAGGGCTCCCTCAGCCTGGGATGTGACAAGTGCTGCTGCAGGCGGGGCTGTAGCACTGAGGGGCTGGGTGGTTCCCTGGCCAACTATGGAACTGAAGGGGCGGGGTCCCTCCCTGAGCCACCTTCCCCCGGGCCTTTTCAGCTGTCCCAGAGAACTATGCAAGGTGGGGCCTTTAGGTCCCCACACAGGAGACCAGGTTCACTGACACAGGTCTGCTTTATTGCAGGAAGCCACAAGCTTATATAGGGATAGTGGTCCAATCACAGCACAGCAAGTAGGATACCTCCCACAGTCTTCCATCTCTACACATAGAGATGCTACTGAACCCAGAGAAGTGTAGTTATACTAAATATTCTATGGAATAAACTAGACAATAATGCCCTGACTTTTCAATCTTCCAAACCCGGCTTAATTGAGTTTCCAGTGAATACGTGCTTGAGGTTTTAGAATTTATCACAAATGAGTTATGATAAAATCTCATTTACATAAGTAATGTGGAAGTATATTTCTTCATATTGAAAATTACTGCTTTAAAGATCTGTGTTATACTAACATTTTAGAAGTAGCTACATTTTGTATAATTTTCCCCAGAAAATCACTGGATATTCAAAATAAGTTATAATTTATATGAACCTTAAAATTAGAGTGCTAATTTTATGGAAACATTAAAATGTCTTTTAGAGCCATCCTTTTTTTTTCAGTTTTATACTTCATACAAAAAAATGGAAGTTTTCCATTTGGCTAACCTTCTTTTTATACATTTTATACTTTTTTTTTTTCTTTTTTTTGAGGCTGGGTCTCCCTGTTTCCCTGGAGACTATGTCCAGCTGGACCAAAACTTGGTAGTACACTCAGGGAAGTCTTGATCTCACAGAGAACTATCATGCCTAGCCCTATCATTTTATACTTTTAAAATAAAACTTTGCTTTTCCAGGAAAAAAAAAAGTTGTATCTATGTCATTCTCAAATGAGTATTTCTTTGTCAATATTTTTCCCTCCAAATATTATGGTTTTAGCTCTTTGTGCCTGTTAAGTATTGGAAACTTTAATGTGGAAAAGAAAATGTTCCTCTTGGGCACTTTCATGTCCACTGTAATGAAGCTGGCATAATTGCATCTTTACATTTCATTATAAATCAATATCTTCCTAATATTATTATAAGTTGTCCTTGTTCTTTTAAGACAGCAGCATCTTGTTAACTTTAATCAGACTATGACGTGTATTTCTCCTAAATGGCGTTTGATGTGGTGTTTCTTTTCAGTTTTCTGTGGTTTCCTGTTTTTTTCATACATAGAGAAAAGGCCTTTCAGGTTTTAACCTCATAGTTTTCTTTTTTCATGGTACATTAGGTCTAAACTTTCCTATAAGTACAGTATAGTGTTGTAGGCCTGTCTCCTCATTTATTTATGTCACTTCCCATAAACTTCCCCGAATTCCTCCCACTCTTGTCAGGTGTCCAGCAACCAGTAGGGTTTATATATTCCTCAACTCTAGGATTATAAATCCTACCTCAAAAGTGTGTGTTCTTCAAGATCAGAATTGATGTGTGGTCCTCCCATAGGTAAGTGTCTCCCACAGCATTGACCTGTATCTTGGTGGATATGGCAGCCCTCAGTGCCTCTCAGAGAACTCATGACAATGATATTTTTCTCAGGCCCTGCCCCAGGCCTATAGAGTACCTTAGGTTCTGAATTTTCTGTGTTAACAAGTTCTTTGAATGACTTAATCTGTTTTACTGTTTGACAAGCACTGCTATGGATAAAGAAATAATTCATGAATATCCATGTTGTGATTTTATGTTATCTTTATTGGGAAAATTGGTGTAGAAGGAGACTAGGGAAAATTGAGTTCATTTTTCCTTGAGTATTTTCTTTAGGGACAATGGCAAAGAAAAATCCAGTTGTTAAATATTTGCTATCTTTTAAGAACATGCATATAGCTCTTGTGGTATCCTGTTTTAAAGACTGAAATATAAAAGTTTAAAATATGATTGTTACTTCTTTCTATCAATTCATGAATAGGAATTTTACATTGTAAAAGAAGGAAGGTTGCTAAGGAATGCATGATGGTCTTACAGATTTTCTTGGTCTGTAGGAGGATGGGAAGGTTTTGGAAACTGCTAAGGTGCGTGAATGGGAGACAGACCTGGCTCTGATAACATTCTGTGGTCTTCCAAATTTTGAGGCGTGTCATTGCAGTACCTATTAAAACTGTTAATATACAAAATAAAGTATGTTAATCAGTAGCTATTGGATACATTTCCATGAGCTAGCCATTGTAGTTACATTTATAAAGGGTGAGGTCTCTGCATTCATGTGGAAGGTTAGATAGCATGTGTTTTTCATCTCTAAAAACATATCAGGGAGGTGCTAGATAAGGTTGAGATGACTTTTTACCTTGCCATTCTTGAAATAGTGGGTAGACATCACTCATTTATGAAGTGACTAAAGGATTCCTACTATTGAATGGACTTATCTTTAAATTATTTTAGGGCAAGAGAAAAGTGGCGTAATGCTAATTCATAGTTAAATAGCAATGATGCCTAAGACTTTACCCCAATCTCCTCTTTTTATGCTTCTAGATATATCCTGATAACCAAGGACTGAGAGAAAAACCAAGATTCTTTTTCTGAGCAAATGTGAAATAATCAGTTTAGCACATTGCATAGGATATGAATTATGAACAGTATTTTCAACTATTCCTTTTAATACAAATATAATTCTATTGATGTCCTTATTTACTTAGGCTGTTTCAGTGGAAGATATGTCTTCATTGACACGTGATTCAGTTGCTCATTGTGTTTTCCCTTGCACAGAACTATTGTACCATGGAAAATATTCAGACAGTGCCTTCATGAGGTTCATCAGATTAGCTCCGGCCTAGAAGCAATGGCTCTAAAATCAACCATTGACTTAACTTGCAATGATTACATTTCAGTTTTTGAATTTGATATTTTCACCAGGCTATTTCAGGTAAGTTTTATCCTGATTTAAGTCATCATCTCCTTCTTTCCTTTCTTCCTCCAGATTCTGTGTTCCTGTTTGTCATATACACACATATATACACATATATGGAAAGCAGTGTAATTGTGATACTCAGGAATTCTTTGTCATCTATGTGTTTGGCCATTCCTTTGAATTTGGAGTGAGTCTTATGGTACTGGTTTAAGTGTCAGATCATGTGAGCCTGTAGGTTGCTTTCCGTCTTTAGAGGAATCAAGCACATGTATAAAATATTCTGTGATATTATACCATTTTATAAATTATTCAGTCAGATGTGATGAATATTTTTCCATGTCATCAGGTATTCTCCATTGTATCAGTTCCTGCAAAATGTTCTGTCAAACCTTTATGCTGATGTTAGTTTAAAAACTATTTTGGAAAATTTGGATTTTTTTTCTGTTTTATCTGAAGAATAACTTTATATGCTGTTTATTACTTTTGCTTTTTTAATCTCTGTAATTTTTTCCGTAGTTTTCAGAGGTAAGTGGTGTCATATTAACACAGTAATTTTGTTCTTTCGCATACATATCCCAATAGAATTGCTCTAAAAATAAATACTTGAATATTGTGTTCTGAATTTTAACTATATGATTCAATACCAGTTGATACAAAATGAAATTATCTCTTAAAATATTTACAATTTTAGTAGTATTAATTATGGTCAGGTAATATTATTTGATGCTGTTTTATTTTGTATTTATTTTTAAAAATCTTTTATTTAGTTTCATTTCATATTTCTGAGTATTTTGCCTGCAATAAGTGCACTACCTGGATGCAGTGCCCCTAATGGATGAGGGATCCCTTGGGACCAGAGTTTGTAATAGAGAGTTGTTACGTGCAACGTAGGTTCTGGGAACTTAACCTGGTCCTCTTCAAGAACAGCAAGTGTTCTTAACACTGGACAATCTCTAGCCCCTGTTTTATTATTTTAATATGGAGTATGATTTATTCTTATTACAATATGATTTCAGAAGATACTAGAGTGTTACACTGGCTTCATGTTTTCTGTGTTGTTTGGATTTTACAACTCTGATTTAAGACACTAGAATTAGCTGTTAAGTACAGGGTGACTGATTCATTTAACTATACTGGCATCAGATTAACATTGCATCAGATTAACATAATGGATAAAAGAACTCATTAACAGAAGACAAGGGAACTCTTATTAACAATAACTATAGGGAAGACTTCACTTTACCACAATTTTAAAATCATAACTTTACAAGGTATGCAGGATAAGAAATTGAATAAATTACTGTAAAATTGTGCTTTTGCATATTTTTTAAATTTATAGTTGTTTCATCTTGATACATACATGGTTAGCTCATGTTTTTTACAGGTTATAAGGTATATTTTAGAAAAACATTGTATTACCCAATATTGATCATTTTAAATACAACACTCCTTTCTTAAAGATTTATGATAGATTTATAGAACAAAGACTTCATTTGTTACTGTGATTCAAGACATTCTAAACAATCAGAGTTTTGGTTATTCACCTTGTGAAGAATAAAGGAGGACTAATTTTCACAGTTAAAGCTAACTGATCATTTTAGGGAGTGCATTTATTTGTTTTGTGTATGTGGAGCAGGTGGATGATTTTTTAGTGTGGATATTAAATGCTAGAATGTCTCAAAGTTATATGGTGAAGGTATGTGAATAGCTTTATTTCAGTTAAATGCTTATCCAAACTACTGTTTAATATGTGCATAAATAATTCTTATAAAATGTTTCACTGTAACATAGCTAAGTAACCTTAATATTCTAAGGTTTATTTATCTTATTTATATCACGAGATAGGAGAGAGAAAAGGATATTTTTGAGAGGAGAGGTACTGTGCAAAGTTTGTGTAATAAAGCAAAAATATTACCTGGACCAAAGATGGCTAATTGCTTTTGAAACAGTTAATTTTAACAGTAGCTCAAAAAGTCTGGTTAGCTTTCTGTTTCTGAAACTTTTCATTCCCTTTGGTTTCTGCACTGTGTTCAAATGCTTCAATTATAATCATACATGTGGCGTAAAATATGATAAAATTGGTTCTCTAACATTTTAACTTTGGCTCATCTTTTATTTTTCCACACTTTTAAAATTTAAAGGCTAATTTTCTTAAATTTACTACATTAAAGCTGTATATTTCTATATCATATATGAAAGTGTAGGATTTGTGGATGCTATAACTGTATAAGTAGCTATTTTATTGTAATTAAGTACTGGTGTTTAGTTAGTTATTGGTTCTTCCAGCTCTGTATTGATGGCAGTTTAGTATTTTCATGCTTCCATCTGAAAATGATAAAGTCTTCATACAGTTTGGAATCTGAATTAGAGGAGCATGAAAGTTTCTGGTGGAAAATGGTAAAGGAATGGAAGGAGCTAGAAAGCCTTCCCCCTCTCATGAGCATCCTTCTATCCAGGCAGAACTTGAACCTGTGCTGATGAGGCAGGGAGAGGAACACAGTGGTGCCCATCGTTGACCTCTTCTACCTGTATTCTTCTTGGTCTCCTCTCCAAGTCTGGGAGACACTGAAATAGGAAGATGCTAGAGTCATGGATTCCCATCAGGATCTTTTGGCCTATTTCTTCCCTTGTAGCTGCTACTTTATTTTTTCTCCCATTTCCCTCCACTATTAGAGAAGATATCATTGAGATGTAAGGCAGTGAATTTGAGGTGTAGCAGAATAAGGGAGAAAAAATGGGGGAACATTCTAGTCATGGTTTAATATAGAGCATTAGTGGAATCAAGAAGCATATACAAGAGGAGGAAAGCCACTGGGAGGAGGGGCTAGTGTCTTTATTCACCTTATTAAGTTCTGTAGTTATTTTTAAATCTCCCTGTAGTTTCGTGTGCTTATGTGTGAAAAAAAATTCCTTTAGTCCCAACAAATTAAATTATAAAAGAATTATTTAAAGAGTTCTTCCAGGTATATAGAAGAAACATATCATAGTATGTGCTTGTGACTGCTGAAGGATCAGTCACAACAGTACAGACTCGCCCCATAGCATGAATGTCTTTGTGATGAGACGCTGACTCTCTCATTATGTGCCAAGAAATAAATACTGTAGCAGTTGACTTTTAACTTCAATTTCATTTTATGTTACAGTCATATTTTGATCTATTAATTGGTTTTCTCTAAAGTGAGATTTCTACAGACAATACTTAGTGAATTCGTGTGGACATTAATGGAAGTGGTCCCAGTATTTGTTATTTCTTTCTAGCCTTGTCCTTCTTAGATGGGGAAGCAAAACAATGAAATGAAAACCAAAATGTCTAGCATAGCAATTATTTCTGAGTTGTGTCTTTGACATATTTTGATAATTTTCCAAATATTGTTTTATGCAATTTCAGTTAGGCCTTAAGAAGAAAATTAGACACATGCTTTTTTTCAAGTGCAGAGTGGAGCGCTCTCATGCTAGTGTTCCCCAGACCTCCTTTTTAACCCAATTAGATACTTCATTGTGATGAGGAAATGCCCTAAAGATTTTTCTTGTTAAGTCCAAAAAGGCTAAAAAGCTTTTTATTAGTAAATCATTCTTTCTTGCCATTTTATTTCAAGGGGCATAATTCTTGAGGAATTCTGCTGCCTTAAAAATTAGAAGTTTGCTTTAAATAATGAAGGGCAAGAACAAGTCTCAAAACAGACCAAAGCAGGACCTTTCTGACAGTAATCAAGTCGGGAATGACTGTTACAGCAACTTGAATTTGGCAACATGAAATATCTTCTTTTTCTTAATGTAGAAGATTTGAGTTAAGAATATGCTACAACAAATGTAGTATGCTGCCAATTCTTTGGAATAAATGTAGCTTCTGCCCTAAAAATATTGCAGAGATGATTCATCCATACCCTCCAGCAAATCATTCTGCCACTGACTGCCTTTTATCTCTTGTTGTGGTACCTGGAGGAACAATTAATTAGATTAAAAGAAATTGATACAAAACAAGTGTCTTTGTGAAAACTTTTTTCTCCCGTAACTCCTTTTCAAACCCTGTGCAGATCTGTAATTGTGCAAGGGTAAAGCACGTGTGAGGGCTGAAGCCTGGTACTTTGAAAGTAACCACCCTTTCTCTGTTGTGTAGATGATTTGTTAAGTAATTGTGCCCTCCTGATGAGTGTGTATCTGAAGCTGCTTGAGTGCTGGGCTCCTGGGCTGAGCAACACAAGAATGCTTCTTGCCCTTACATGGCTTGTAGTTGGTACAGAATCTTTTCCAGAACACTTAACTTCTGTGATTCAGTTTCCTATTCTATAAAATGGGGTATCCAAGAGAGAACACAACAGTAGACTAAATAGACAAGATCTGATGAGGACTATGGCAAGAGGGAACAGTTTTGAGTAGGAAAGTCTAAGAAAGCCTCATTGACGAAGTGATTGATACTTCCATGATAGGCTGAGGAACCAGAATTCTGACTCTGGGGTATGAGAGGATTTTGTGTTCAAGCCTATAGTACAGAAGCCAGTATGGCTAAAGAAAAAGCAGAGTATAGCAAGTGAGGACAGAGACAACTGAGGATCAAACCCGAAGGCCAGGTTAGTCAAGTCCTTCAGGCTATTCATAAGCACTTTGAGTTGTATTTACAATTAGGAAGTTATGAACCAAAGAATTATGTGGTTTATGTTTCCCAGAGTTCACAAATCCCCTATTAAGAATACACTATGTAAAGAATACTTGGTTTCCTTTTCGTTCTCTGTATTTTTATTTCTAAGAAATATGTTTCCTGCCAAAACACATTTCTGTAAAGGAAAACAAACTAGTGCATGTTTGCATTTAGTTAACAAAGGTTAACCTAAGGGACACATGCCATATTAACCTTGAAAATATCCAGGAGAATTTCACTGTGTGTGAAATAATGTAGTTGGTGTGTTGTTCCTCTAGGTAATCTCTTTTCATTTATTTATGTGTTTAGCCTTGGGGCTCTATTTTACGAAATTGGAATTTCTTGGCTGTAACACATCCAGGATACATGGCATTTCTCACATATGATGAAGTTAAAGCACGACTGCAGAAGTATAGCACCAAACCTGGAAGGTAAGACTTTAGCAATAATGTTCAATGACGTACTTAAAGAAGAAAAATCCCTGTGGTTCATTCTTAACTATGTTGATAATACTCACTCTGGCTGAGGTGGGGTGAGGTGGAAATAAGTAAACTGAAAGGGTGCTTTTTAATCAAGTCCTTTAAATTTGCTATATTAACATCTGAAAGTATCATTAAGTGAAAAGGGATGTGCAATTTGTTAGATTTAACTATTCTTTAATCCTCAGAGTTCTGCTTTGCAAATTAGTATGAGATATTAGTTGTTATGAGCCCTATGTTATCATATTAGTTGTTTCATGAGCCCTATGTTTCTGTTCAAATTTATATGTGTATTTGAATACTTGAATATTGTGCTAAAGACAGAATTATATAGATTAGTTCTGTGTTCATTGTTTTGGACAATTTCAAATACTTGCAGTTAGTCTCTATGATAAATATATAAGAATGTATAATGGCCTACAAATATAAATACATACCAGTACATAAACATGCTTCAACCCACTGTTATAATCCAAACCAATTTCATGTCTTTGTAAATTTAATAGCTCTTGATTCTTTATAGACTCAGGATTTATGTTTTATTTTTTTGGATGCTAAATCTGAGTATTCACCTCACTTGGCATCTGTTCATTTCTTCTGGCATTGGCCAAGAAATCACATCTTATTATGGCAAATACAAGGCCAGAAAGTCTATTTTTTGCCAAGATCAGTGAATTTTCGTATATGTACCATCTAGAAATGTGTTAGGCGCACAGCAAGTCTTTGGTCATGGCATGTAATCCACAGAAGGCAAAGTCATTAGAACAACATCATTCACACTAGAGACCTGCCACTGAAGTCTTTACATTTTAGTAAGATACGTTACACTAGTACCATACTGCAACAATTTTAATGTATGGCAGAGTTTGGTGGTTTTTGTTTGTTTGTTTGTTTTGTTTTCTGTTTTCTTCAAGTCTTAGTGTTTTCTTCTGGGATCATCTTTATTTGACTTTAGAGCATGTGACATTGGATCTTTAATAGAGTTTTCTTATGTAAAGCCAAGACTTTTAGTTCCTTCTCTCTTAATGAAAATATCTATGTTTTTTTT